AATTCGTTCCGTGACGGAGCTCGTAACTCAAATTACTCGTATGTCAAATCAAAAGTGAACGAGTGAGACACATGATGCTGGGCTGATGTTGTGGCGTTCACTGTGACGTTCGCTGTGCCAACTAGCAGTGGGGTATCTGAAGCTGGCTCGTAACCTGAATTTTAGCTCTCAACTCAAAGCAAAAAATCGTCCGAGAGACGGCTCGTATCTCAAAAAACTCGTTAGTCGGGACACTCATAAGTCAAGGCCCCACTGTGTGTGTGTGTGTGTATATATATGGCTCTATCTCTCTCTCTCCTCCCCTCTATTCCCCTCTTTCACTCTCTCTAAAAATCAATGAAAAAAATATCCTTAGGTGAGGATTAACAACAACAACAAAAAACAGTATGAGCTCTATATTGACTCGCACCTGGGTTCAAACCTCAGCTCTGCCACTTGCCGGCTGTGTGACCCGAGCCTCACTCCCCTCATCTGTATATCTGTAAAATGGGATGATGACTAACAGTGCTTAAGTCACAAGCATAATGCGAGGATTAGCTGAACTGAACTACATAAAACATTCCTCCGTGTCCTATAAAAGTCAGCTGTTATTAATCCACAGCGTGGCTGTGCTTTGCAGCTTGTCAGTGGAGTCACCGGGTCTGTCACCGTGTGTGTCTGTCATGGCCTACCTGGGTCACTGCGAATGTCTCTGTTACCCCTGTCACCCCATGGTTTGTTCAGGTGAATCTGAGTGGCTCAGTGTGTCTGTCACCGTGTAGCTGTGTCACAATGTGAGTGCCGCTGCGCCCATATCATGGAATGAGACTGTCGCTGAACATCTGAGACTCGCCACGTGTTATGGGTTAAATGGCACCCCCTCAAATTCATATGTCAAAATCCCAGCACTTCAGAATATAAAATACAACCTTGTCTGGAAATGGGGTCATTGCAGATATTATTAGGTTAAGATGAGGCAATACTGGAGCAGGGTGGCCCCCTAATCCAATATGACTAGTGTTCTTATAACGGGGGGATTTGGACACAATCATTCACACAGAGAGAATGCCACGTGAAGATGAGGGCAGAGATCAGAGTGATGCTTCTACAGACCAAGGAATGCCACACTTTGCCAGCAAACCACAGAAGCTAGGGGAGAGGCATGGAACAGACTTCCTCCCTGCCCTCAGAAGGCATTAACCTCCATGACGCTTTGATCTTGACCTTCTAGACGCCAGAACTATGAGACAACAAATGTCTGTTGTTTAGACACCTGGTTTGTAGCACTCTGTTACAGCAGCCCTAGAAAACACGTGGATTTGACTTTAGTGTGATCATAGGTGATTTGAGGGCCCCCTCCCCTCTGCACGGTGGTGTGGCTGGGATGCAGCACCAGAGAGAGCCTCCAGGTGGCGCAGTGAGCATCAGGCGGAAAGATAAGAAGTGGGACTCGAGTACCCCTCCACGCAGGGAGGATCCCACCTATTGCTCAGGAGGATGCCAAGCGCCTGAGCAATATGTCTGGAGTCCAGGGCCCAGCTCTGCCACAATGGAAAGCTACTCCCATCACCCTGTGAGAACCCCACCCCCATCTCCAAGGCTGCACTGAACCTCTGCCAGCATTCTGTGCGCTCTCACCTCTAGCTGGAGGTCACCATAGCTATCTCCTTCCTTTACAAGTGTTTCCCCCACCCTCCCAGCAGGAAGAAAGGGCAGGAAGAAACTACCAGGTGCAAATGTTGGAGGGGGAGGGGAGTGTCCAACTGGCCAGGGGTAAGAGGTGTCAGGGTAATGAGATTTTTCCGGCCATGCCAAGGGAGCTGCCTGCCCCCTGCCAGAAAGGGGACAGGGAGGGTTTGAAATCGCGATGCAATTTATGACAGGCAGGCTGAGGACATGGCTCAAGAGAGCAGACAAGTATCTGCCAAGAGGCTGATTAAACCTCCGTGATATACGGCCTCTGGGCTCACAGGGCCCTCCTGGGGCTAATAGTATCCCCCACAGCCAGGCTGCTGGGCCTGCCACAGCCTGCCCTGCCTTCCCAGGCCTTCCCAGCTGTCCCCTCAGGAGCTACACCGCTCCAGCCGAGCTAGGGCTCCCGCCCGGAAAACGTGGAGGGGTGGGCAATTTTTAGGGCACACAAACATCTATCGAACCCCTGTCACCGGCACCAGCAGGTCAGCACTCCCTGCCCTGGCCCCTGTTCAGAACCAGCATGACTCACCCCAGCGGGACCCACACTTGGACAGGACCTGGCCCACGTGCTCTCTTTAACAGAAGAGGAAATTGAGTCCCAGAGCAGGAGAGTGGGCTTTCTGCAAAGTACACGGCAGGGCAAGAGCGGAGACTCTTCTAGAGACTTCCCCACCCCCTCTCTCCCACCTAGCCGCCAGGCCGCCTCTTCTTCATGATGACAACCACTTTACTGAGCGCTTCGGGTGTGCCAGGTGCTTTACACAGAGGATCTCGCTCAAACTTCACAACAACCCCATGAGGTGGGCACTATTATTAACCTATTACCCCACGTCACAGATTAGAGAACAGGCTCCGAGAGGTTTTATGGCCGGACCTGAACTTGAACTTGTCTGACTCAGGGCTCCCGGGGAGGCTTGTGGTTGCCCAGCCCCTAGCAGGCCGGGGTGCCAGGCAGGGAGATGCCACATCCTGGTCCGGAGGAGTGGGAGCCAGAGCCAGAGAGGCTGGTGTGGCTCAGTTGGTTGAATGTTATCCCATACACTGAAGAGTCACAGGTTCAATTCCTCGCGGAGCAAAAGAGCATGGGT